ACGCGGCCCAGCTCCTCCTCGCTGCGCCACCGCGTCCAAACTCGGAGAAAGCCCGCACGGAAGATGTTTGCTTTCCCTCGGTTGACATCCGTGGTAGCTTTCTGTTCTCCGTGCCTCTCCTGTCTTCCCGAGACTTGTGGTCTCAGTGGTGGCTCGCCTGCCCCTGGCCAGCCACGTCCTGCACGGGGCAGCCCCTTTGGGGCCGCCTCTGTCTATTGTCACAGGAGCTCGGTGCGGCCCATCACCTCCCCACGCTGCGGGTCACCTCTCTCGTTCCTCAGTTGGCCTCCTAAGGACCAGCTTACCTCATCAGCCAGGACACTGCTTGGCTACTTGGCTTTGTCCAAACGTGGCTGCTCTGGAGACCGGCACCTTGTCCCTCTCTGGTGTTCGGCGGTGTTTCAGGTTTCCCATCTTGTTTAGGGACAGATCTTTACTACCTATCACACAACATGGTTTTCTGCCATATCCCACAACCTGCCTGGCTCTGCACAGCATCAGCTGTCTTCCTGCGTCCGCTTTCTGCCTTCTGTAGGTGCCCACCCACCATTTTAGGACATATGTTGACCGTGTGCTTGCAGCAGCTCTTGAGCGGCAGCAGGAAGGGACTGAACCAGAAGGACGTTTCTCTCCTCCTAAAATCAGAAGGATGGTTCAGCAGGGTCAGGCTTACCCGCAGAGCGGCACTGCCTCGTAGGTGGGTGGGGGTCGTATGGGGAGGGAGAACTTGGCTTCCCTGCCTCTGACCTGGGATCAGAGCCTGCAGCCGCTGCCTGCTGCCGGGAGGAGTGGAAGCGCCCTCTCCCCGGGGGGTGATGCCCACTGAATCCACGGTGGAGGAGGCAGCAGGGAGCAGGAAGGACATGACTCCAGGCTGAGGCAGAGCCAACAAAATGTCAGCTCTCCATTTTCTAAGGGCCTTCTTTTATCATGGTGGCGTTATGCAGGTGGGGAAATCTTGCCCCTGTCCTCGGGAGGGCCTGGCAACCGGCGTCTATCACAGTAACCTCCTCTGGTACACCACTGAGCAGCCAGTTCAGTTTGTTTCTCATTTTGAAAGGAAAAGATGCTGGTTTACATTTCTTTTTCTTATGAACACCCAGTCATAAGTAATTTTACACTTGCTGCTAGTGGCACGGTAGGAATCAATGTAACCAAAATGGTGCAACGCCATTGCAGAGCTGGCATTCACATGTGCAGTTTATAAACATTTTCTTTCTGTAACCTGTATATTCCTAGGACATCACTGAGCCTTCAACATCTTAAAATGCCTCTGTACAAATACCACTGCACAAATGTAGAGCTAAAGCTAAATGGATGACCTATCCCACAAACCCGGCTCCTGCACAGCATACTTCTGCTCTGAAAAGAGATCCCTGAGAAGTGGGATTGCATGTTGGCTGACTAAATTATCTCAGTGTTCATGCATAAACAGGTGTGTGTGACTTGTTTTTTCCGCTCACTGCCAGCCCTGTAAGCTCCATCTGGAATGAGGCAGCCAAATTGCCATTTTTCTGGAGCACAGGACAGGAAATCCTGCCTTTGGACTGCTCCTATTGGTAATGTGTGAGCAGACCAAAATCTCTTCTGTCACCCAGACCTGTGCATGCCTGGCTGAGCCACTGAGAGCAACCAAACAAAATACTCCTTTGGTAAAGGCAATAAGCAGGACGCCAGACGGATGCAGAAAGCAGCCCAATTGTGAAGGCAGCATTTTTCCTCTGCCTGCAGAACAGAACTGCATTAACTACATTATGTTCTCATTTAATTCACTAGGAAGAAAGGTGATGATGGAGAGAAAATGGTTTCAGGAATCGGTATTTTTCTTATACAAAACTCGGTAGGAGGCATTTTTGGCCTGGAAGTACAGGAGGAGGAACACCCAGACACTTGTGAGAAGGCAGCAAGCTGGCAGGCAGCTCTCTGCAGCATGTGTAGTTGACCCCATCTTTGCTACATGTGCTGGCCCTGGTTATTGGATCCGAACAGCGGTGTCACAGTGCGTGTGGCAGAACAGACAGTGACCCTGACTCATGTTTCTGGGCATCATTTTCCTCTGGTCTAGGTTGGTTTTGTCTCCTAAATACTTAGTCTCCTGTAATCTCACCCTACAGCACTGCTACTATGATGGATATTACATCTGTTTTCTTTCCTCTGATCGGGATCTGCAGTCCCTGACTTGGCTTTAACCTCCTGGATGGAGTGAAGAGAAACAGCTTTGTGGCCAGAAGCAGCTAAACACCGAGACAGTAGAGAGATTCCTCACAAGGTGAGAAATTGAATAGACCATGTCTGGGAAGGGAAGAGCTGAATGCTGAGCTGCACGCTCCGCACTCATCCTGCCTCTTCTGCTCCCATACTATATAAATTCTGCTTGCAGGAAGATTTGTAGGCAGGGTATTGATAAAAGATGAGACACACTCCTGGGATATCTAATACCCTTTCAAAAAGACCCTGTTCAAAATGAAATAAAATCCTGTGTATTTTTCAGCAAAGACTATACTTAGAATGTTAGAAGGCATAACTAACCAAAGTGTGGCTTTTTCTTCCTTTCACTCTGACAGTATTTTTAATATTTTATTGGTCAGTTCGCTGCCTTGAGGTACGTGGCTTGGGCTAGTGCTATACCTTTATTTGTACTACAAATGTTTTTCAGCCCCGAGTGTTGTAAACAAAAAGCTGGGAATCAGTATAACCAGTGTGGTCGTGTCTTCTAAAAACTGCAGATCACCTGAAACAAAACCTGAGGGGTTTGTCCTGCTGCATTCACCTTATATTCTGACCTACCACACGTAAGAGGATGATTTTAACTCTGTAAGCAGTGCCATCCAGCTACTCGGCTTACCTCAC